ATTTAATATTTGAATAAACAGACAATAACAACATTTTGCTGTACTTTCTTTTCGTCAGCAAATCTTTTTCAGTGCAAACATGTGCTGTTAGTATTATATTATTCTCTTTATTATTTTTATTTATTTGCATGCCTACAACAGATTTGAGAGTCACATGATGCAGAACTGTATTCAGATCCTTTATCCTTGTTTGTGGTCTTAGTTTGTGTTTAGCAGAGCATCACCTGCGGTCCCTTTTTCCTGTCCCAGCCTGCTGTAATGAAGCCCGCCTGCAGCTCTTCCTTATTACTATAGCAAAGTTCCCTCATGATGGATGCTGCAGCTTTTACCAAGGGAGGAGATTCCATCTGAATGCTAAAGACATAAAGAGATTTTATAGTCACTATATAGCCACAGACAAAGTTACTAACTAAGCGTTTCTTTAGGATTCTGCAAAAATGCTATGGAAATAAACAGACCTGTGAAAAGACAGCTGGAATTTGGCCATTTTGGTAACAGCTTGTGCATCTGCCAGTTTTTTTATGTTTTGAGGTTATTTTTAAATCCCACTGCATAGATTTGCAAGTTAAAGTTAGAAGTTATTCTATAAACTGAAAGGTTTTAGAATTACTCACTTCGGTCAGGACCACTATCGTCAAAGATGATTGACAATTAGCATACAGTCTGTATTGGCGGTATGGTTCTGTTCTGGGCAAGAACTCCCTGCGCATCCATGCAGCCTAGCATGGATGAGAGCAGGGACAGCAGCGATAACCCCCAAGGGCAAACAGAACAGAACCAACATAAATGTATTGCAGATATCGTTAAAGTTCAATAATGTTATGTACACATTTTAGAATTAGTCTGATTCAAAGGAGAATCAGAAGGCTGAATCCTGACTGACAGAGGAGGAGCTGGGGATGGAGGAGGGTAATTAGCTATTGAGTAATGCGAAAACTGCTGATAATACTGAGGGACCTTATATATGAATGCTTAGATAGGTGTCGTATTCCCATACTGTAGATGGGGATCAGCTGAGAGTCCGCTGATGCGAGCTTGACTAACGTGACCTGCCAGAACTAACGCTATGCTAGATTTTATTCAATATATCACAATGTAGATTTTAATTCCATTTGATGAAAAAATTGTGTGAAAAAGCTTGAGCAAAAAATATTGAGTAAACTGTACTTTACATTTTGTTTAGTGCATGAAACTACATCTTTCTGTCACTATTGTCTTTCATTCAACCTTTGGAGGAGGCCAAGGCACTAGTAAGTGATGCCATCCATGCAGGCATCATGAGTGACCTGGGATCAGGAAACAACATAGACCTGTGTGTGATTACGTGATTACGAATGGACTATATCAGACCTCATCGAGAATCCCCTTATAACTATAAGAGGTAAAAAGCAAAAAGGTGTTTTTGTGTTTTTGTCGGTTTTGATGTTTTTTCTTTTTATAAAAGAACACATTTTTACTTTTTTATAAAATTATATAATGTCACAGCAACTCAATGCATATTTAAAGGTTAGTGTTAATTGTGTCTAATGCAATGCCTAATATTGGCAATATATTGATCTCTCTTTGTCTTACTCTTACAGACAGGCAAAGTACAAATATAAGCCAGATTCAACACCTGTTTTAACTAAAACCGTGACTCAGCTGGAGCTGGAGTTGGTGCATGAGACAGTTCAAATGATGGAAACAGCAGGATCCAGTTGAGTCGTGAAATACCCTGTGATGTTAGAATGTGATCTGGAAGAGGGATCCTTTTAACTCAGTGACTGTTTTGACAAACAAACAGGGAAAAAAGTCTGATTATGCTGTAAATGTGTTTTTATGTCTGATGTTTGTTCGCATAATTGCGAACTGATAATCATCAACAAACTATTACAATTTCCAGCATATGCACAGCTTTTTTTTTTATGTTTTAGAAACAAAGATCTGTTTTAGTAAACACAACAGAACTTGATTTTAAAAAATGTAACACAAATAAATTCCAAGGACATTTTTTGCAATATTGCTATTATTGGTTATATATGCTCAAATGAATGATTAAAGCCAAATGAAAGAGATTTCAAAACAATAATGTTGCAAATCATAAATACTTGCCTCTTGGTACTTGTTTTCCATTTCGAAAAAGTGGGCATGCTACATATTGTATATATATATATATACAGTATATATGTATATATATATATATATACATATATACATATATATATATAAGGATTCTGCAAAAATGCTATGGAAATAAACAGACCTGTGAAAAGACAGCTGGAATTTGGCCATTTTGGTAACAGCTTGTGCATCTGCCAGTTTTTTTATGTTTTGAGGTTATTTTTAAATCCCACTGCATAGATTTGCAAGTTAAAGTTAGAAGTTATTCTATAAACTGAAAGGTTTTAGAATTACTCACTTCGGTCAGGACCACTATCGTCAAAGATGATTGACAATTAGCATACAGTCTGTATTGGCGGTATGGTTCTGTTCTGGGCAAGAACTCCCTGCGCATCCATGCAGCCTAGCATGGATGAGAGCAGGGACAGCAGCGATAACCCCCAAGGGCAAACAGAACAGAACCAACATAAATGTATTGCAGATATCGTTAAAGTTCAATAATGTTATGTACACATTTTAGAATTAGTCTGATTCAAAGGAGAATCAGAAGGCTGAATCCTGACTGACAGAGGAGGAGCTGGGGATGGAGGAGGGTAATTAGCTATTGAGTAATGCGAAAACTGCTGATAATACTGAGGGACCTTATATATGAATGCTTAGATAGGTGTCGTATTCCCATACTGTAGATGGGGATCAGCTGAGAGTCCGCTGATGCGAGCTTGACTAACGTGACCTGCCAGAACTAACGCTATGCTAGATTTTATTCAATATATCACAATGTAGATTTTAATTCCATTTGATGAAAAAATTGTGTGAAAAAGCTTGAGCAAAAAATATTGAGTAAACTGTACTTTACATTTTGTTTAGTGCATGAAACTACATCTTTCTGTCACTATTGTCTTTCATTCAACCTTTGGAGGAGGCCAAGGCACTAGTAAGTGATGCCATCCATGCAGGCATCATGAGTGACCTGGGATCAGGAAACAACATAGACCTGTGTGTGATTACGAAAGAGGGGGTGGACTATATCAGACCTCATCGAGAATCCCCTTATAACTATAAGAGGTAAAAAGCAAAAAGGTGTTTTTGTCACTCTTGAGGTTTTGATGTTTTTTCTTTTTATAAAAGAACACATTTTTACTTTTTTATAAAATTATATAATGTCACAGCAACTCAATGCATATTTAAAGGTTAGTGTTAATTGTGTCTAATGCAATGCCTAATATTGGCAATATATTGATCTCTCTTTGTCTTACTCTTACAGACAGGCAAAGTACAAATATAAGCCAGATTCAACACCTGTTTTAACTAAAACCGTGACTCAGCTGGAGCTGGAGTTGGTGCATGAGACAGTTCAAATGATGGAAACAGCAGGATCCAGTTGAGTCGTGAAATACCCTGTGATGTTAGAATGTGATCTGGAAGAGGGATCCTTTTAACTCAGTGACTGTTTTGACAAACAAACAGGGAAAAAAGTCTGATTATGCTGTAAATGTGTTTTTATGTCTGATGTTTGTTCGCATAATTGCGAACTGATAATCATCAACAAACTATTACAATTTCCAGCATATGCACAGCTTTTTTTTTTATGTTTTAGAAACAAAGATCTGTTTTAGTAAACACAACAGAACTTGATTTTAAAAAATGTAACACAAATAAATTCCAAGGACATTTTTTGCAATATTGCTATTATTGGTTATATATGCTCAAATGAATGATTAAAGCCAAATGAAAGAGATTTCAAAACAATAATGTTGCAAATCATAAATACTTGCCTCTTGGTACTTGTTTTCCATTTCGAAAAAGTGGGCATGCTACATATTGTATATATATATATATACAGTATATATGTATATA